AACACAACGGCATCTCACCATTCATAGAATGGTTCCCACCCCTTACCACTCGCTATCTCAAGAGACAACGCCCGCATTCTCGACGGCAATCATCATATGAAAATGCGAACAGATCCTAGGGGAGGTTTTGGGCTCTCTCCATGCGCTCTCAAGGATTATCAGATACGCGACGGCTGAGCAGTTGGTAGAGACTGTGAGGAGAACCCTGGGTTAAGCTGTTACTAGTCGATATTTAGTCTTCAACCCTTCCCCAGGGCTCTTTCTTCCAGCCGCTCGGGACACCCAATGAGACTCCAACAGTCCACTAACTAAGGTCTTGGGAGCTGAGCTGAGTCCTAATCATGTACCACTATGTACGCACCAGCCGATCTCTACAGTAGTCTCCTCGAGCCAGACTCTTCTCGACTTGTCTCTTCTCCAGTTATTCAACATCTCATGGTCTCACAAAATATGCGGCTGACCTTTGCCAGAGTAACAATAACTCTGCCAGGCTGTACTGACCGCCTTCTAACATGACACTCGCCTACATACTTACCCACTTACATGCTGCTGCGCTACATACCGTCCAACCTATTGCCGAGACCTCGTCGAAGCTCGCTCCGTTTCGGCATAACGATTGCATAGATAGCTGCTCCGAGTCCCCGTCTCCGGGGACTTCTCGCATCGTCTCGCATTAGTTTGGGCACGCGGCATTTTAGCTCGCGGCATTGCATGGCTCTTGGTACTGCCGCTCTGCCGCTAGAGTGTTTCTGGCCGCAAACTTTTTTTCTTCCTTTCCTCATGTCTCTGACACTCCATTCTACCAGACCACCGGGAAAAGACAAACCCCTACCTACCCTACGACCAGCTGGGAATGGATATTCCGAGACCCCAAGCAACCTTCAGCTACACGTGCTCATACTCTTAGGTAGTCTTGTCAAGGGCCTCAAGCGAAGAAGGAAAGATCTTCTCTTCGCAATCTTCACGTGTTAATGGCATGCCCACGTGCTCGCTGAGTGCGTGCCTGAGCACCACACACCTGTGGTGTTGTCTTTGAAAGGGCTGAAGGGTCGTGATGTGAACAGAGCAGAGCTCGTCAGACATCACAGCAACTGCACTGCACTGCTTACCAGACAGATTCACAAACCGAAAGCCTATCACGGCAGGGTCTAGTTGAAGGAAGACCCAACAAAGTTCCCCGACATTTTCACGTGCTCCTCCTCCTCCTCAGTTAGCCGACCGATTCCTCGGGACGGACTTCCTCTACCACGGAAATCCCTTCATGGATCGGGTTCGGATGGACGTCAGTGGTTGGGTTCGGCTTTCCGGCATTATCCCCCCTCTTCTCTTTCTCAGAATCGTCGGACTATCCCCAGAATTTCTCCAACAAAGTGACACTAGGTGTCCTCTTGGCCACCGTAGCTAAACGGCGCCAGACTGGTCTGGGATCGTCGCTCGCCGTCTACTGTGGACTGTGTTAGGTTTCATCGAGATTTCTTCTAAGATACTCCGCGTATTACGGTGTGTCTGGGGTGTCGTCGTGGAGCAGTACTCCGAGATTTCCAGTCCTTCTTGTCTCCGTAATTGTTAGGGGATGGATGGATGTACATGTCCATCGAGGAGGAGAGAAAGACAGGGGAAGAGGGTCATATGTACTTTGTGCAGCACTCCGTCGGACTGCAACGCAAGTATTACTCCTTTCGGATATCACCTGGGTTTGAGAAAAAAAATTTTATCTGATCCTTCGCCTTTTTCTTATCCACCAACCCACATCAATACAACCACAAGCAGCCAAAGGGTCTGATGGGGAGATGATGGTGCTTGAAGAAAACCCGGGAATAACCCGCTGAAGGTTTAGAAGGTGGTATCTACCTAGCGTACCAGGTAGGTACGGCAGTCTATCTACCCACTCACACAGAGTCCCTAAATCCTCACCCCCCACGTGGGCGTGGGTTAAGGACAACCATCCATCACCAAGAAAGACCATGACCGTCTCATACCCATTCCCCCGTCCAACCCTTGACATCGGCCATCTCCCATCCCATCCCATCCTTCATCCCCACGCGATCCTCACCCATCCATCATCCATCCATTAATTATCCATCATCCTCATTCCCCATCCACCATCACCGATGACCGTACTAAGGACCGGACCAAGGACCAATATCAGGACAAGGGCAAGCTCATCACCCCCCCCCCCCTCCTAATTCCCCATTCCCCATTTCCCGAGAAAGAATGAAAACCACCCACGGCCCACGGCCCTGGGATACGGTATCACACTAGCTCACATGCCTGTCTTGCATTTCTTTGCTTTTTCCTCCCTCATGTCGTCTCGGTTCAACGGTGTCCTTAACTATTCGTCGGTAACTCGTCTAAAATTTCTTTTCGCGGGGTTCTAGCCCGGCACCAAGGGGCTTGGGAGGTTTGCTTGCCATGGACTTGGGAACGCACCAACACCGGCACTTGCGGCCCCCTTCCCCGGATTGGATAGGCGCCGGGTATCTTCTCGGATTCTATGCCCTGGCTCATGTCTACTGTAATCAACCTGCAGAAGACAGTGAGGAAACCCTGGTGCTTTTTTCTCCGTATCTACCGCTGTGGTTTTAGCTCAGTTGGGGATAGTACATCCTCGGCTTTTGGAGGACCTCATGGACGACAGACATCGTGATATGCAATATCGGAGGTAAGTAAGTAGGCGAGTCATCTCGCTCAGGTGTGGAAGTACATTTTGCTTTTCTCATTGCTGTCTGTAGAGGAGCATGTCTCCGCCGGCGTGGGTCGGTATAAGTGATATATGATATCTTCCAGTTCTTGCCAGAGGAAGTTAGTTGCCTAGGTAAAGTCGCCTTGCATCCGATTACGAAAAAGAAGAAAAAGAAGAAGAACAGAGGAAGGACAGAAGAGCCTTTAGATTACATTGCCAGCAACAAGCTAGAACAGTTGACTTTTGTTTCTAAGTATAGCTGAAGTCCAGAAGCAACGCCTCCTTCGACGCCAGCGGCTAAAGTAGATGTTCACCAACCTAACTGTGTCCATGTATATACGTCCCCGAAGCCCCGTCTCTTTCACAGTTTGTGATGAACTGAAGTGGCGCCGCCGGGCGTTTTCTTTCTTCTTGTCCGAAGCCGAAGCTGTATTCGGAAACATGTCTACCATTCGCTCGCTTGTTATAGCAAGTCCATTCAGTCAGTCATTCACCTACCGGACACGAGACAAGGCAAAGACGAAGGTAGAATGGACGCTGTGAACACAGTAAATGTGCCTCTTTTTTTTTTTTTTTTTTTGTGAGCTCATGTGCTCTTGTTGCACGTTTGAAATCTATATTTTGGTCTTTTCTTGTCCATTGCTGCTGCCTGTGGAAGGTGTCTTCCGAGTGTAAACGCTGGACGACGTGATGAAGAATGGCTTGACTGATTGCAATGAAGATGACTAGTACAAGCAAACTCGCTTGTAGACGAAGAAAGGATGGCCGACAGTGAGTGGTACTTGCCTGACTATAGTGCGGAAGATATGCCATGTACAGAAGGTGCAATGATGAGGGAGTGGAAGTTTCTGCATCAGTGTCTTGAGTTTGGCCTGGATCTTAAGTCCCCAGCGCATGTAGAACGTTGCATAACCGCAGCCGGGATACATAGGAAGGAGTGACTATCCCCTCTTCCAGATGGTGAGCTGATGATAGCATGAAGATCGAGTGAACCAGGCGTGAACTCAAATGATGAATGAGATCAAAGAGTGATAGTATCGGATAGGCTCCGAGTGCTCCGCTTCACGTCAACCTCTTATCAAACCGCAACTTTCAGGATATTTCCGGTCGATGAAAAGAGAGACCGATGTCAAATACCAACGATGAATATGGTTCAACTTGGATTTACAGAGGTTGGAGGGGGGAGCGTCAGAACGTCGACTTGGTGCTCGGCCTTAGAATCACGAAGAAAGGAGATAGGTTCCTATCAAGAATATAACATTTACCCATCCTCGATCTCTCTCAAAGTGTCAAGGCTGGTTCAGGATCTTTCGGTTGTTCATTTCCCAAGTTCAACCGACTAACGGTTCAGTGATCGCTCTGCTGCCATATCTCTATTGTTAACAATCTCGATTCTTTCTTGGGGCGCCTCCACCGTCCCCCGATGCCTGAACTACGAAAAGAAAAAAAGAAAAAGAAAAACCAAATGTATGAGTGAAAGAAACGAGACAAAACCCCCAAAAAAGAGATTGGAAAAATGACAAAAAAAAACGAGTTAAAAGATGATCCGACCCAGGCTCGATCTGGGGACCTTCAGTGTGTTAGACTGACGTGATAACCAACTACACCATCGGACCAGTTTTATTGTTGATGTAAAAGGCACAAGGTTAAGTACCTATAAAGCATGATCCATCCATACGCCGAGATGCTTTTGCAATCCGACATACTCGGTAGCAAGCAAACCAACAGTTAACTTCGACTTTGCTCCCATTTCCTTTTCATCACAGTTTTGGTTCGAATATCATCCAGTCGCTGATAAGATCTAAACAGGGCATATCCCTGTTTTGTCGAATTACGGGACACGAGGTATTCGGAGGCGACTTTGGACGAGAGAGGACGAAAGCGATGTCAAAGATGGAAGACATCATTCACTCAGGTGGATTTGTAGATAATTCGTAGTGATCCATTCTTTTCACCGAGGTCTCAATGATGGAGCTCGGAATGTGTCCTTCAATTTGATCCTTTGAAGTTGCAATTACAAGATGCAGGGACAGCGAGTCCTTGGGGCGGAGACGATTAGAATCACAAATGAAAAATAAGACGAACACTGTAGAAGCCATCCCACAAAGTGGATGGTATCGACTAGGAAAGCATTTCCGCATTTCAGAGATGCTGCGAGAAATATGGCGGTTGATTATTTCGTTTGTTATGTTGGAGTGTCGTGGATGGCTGCTAGGTCTCTGGCACACATCAAACTTCCATTGTCTCGGGAATGTGGTGATGGAGTGATTGGGAACCAACGTGTACTGTGTAGAGGAGAGAAAGTGATAAAGAGAAGCCGGGAGAGTTGTGAGTGTTCTTCCCACAAATCCTACCTATAGTGCCCTAACATATCTTGAACATACCTCTTCCTCTCCTGAATCCAGTCTTCGCATTGCTCTCCCGTCACCTTAGCGGGTCAATTAGAGAGACTTATTCTCCGGAACCATAAGCCAAGCGAGCAAGATCCAAAACACGAGTCACGTGTTGTCCTTCTGTTTTGAGATGGGGAACGTCCTCTCTGCCTGGAGAAGGACGAGCTGTTCGTAGAGCCTTCCTTAAACCTTGCAAGTGAAGAGCAACTTAGACTCAGAAAGTTGTATAGATCTACAATGTACACAACGAACAACAGGCACGAACCGATTGCAGAATCTGAAGACTTGAATAGCACCGCTGCAAAACACAGATGAAGCATGTTCACCACCCGATATACCGAATGGTAGTCCAACTGTGGAAACACTTCCCAGCCAGAGTCCAAACAAGCTCCCTGGAATTTGGTCCGGCCTACGGCAGTATCGAACTTGTCAACTTGCATCATCGTTATGCCACAACTTGTTTCAGGTATAAACATGTGAAACCAACCCAGGCCGAGTTAGGCAGCTACTTAAGGTCACAAGAAAAGATGTTTGACCTTCAGGGTATGGGTGTTTACATCATACTCGAGCAAACCGTGACGACAACACCTCCATGGAGCAAGAGGAAACGGCTGGAACTAACGGTAATCATCAGGACAGACAACGGCACGGTGGGACGATGCCAAAACCGAGAGGGTACGTGCGTGGTAACTCGTTCTTGATTCACTGTTGCCGCGCCATGAACGTATGGTTGAAGCTTCATCGAGCACTCGATACGTCCAAGCCAGAAACTGTGAGCTTACTTGCTCAGCATAGCCAGTAATGACCGAGCCAGGGAATCCCCATCCCTCTCCAAGGCATACATAGATCATCCGCGAGCCTAACACCCGGGCAAAATTTTGAAACCCCCCCCGTATCATAGAAAGCATGTCAGTGGGACCTCCCTGCTTCCCTCTAAAGCCGTGAACCCCTTGAAAAGAAAATGAACCGTTATGAGGCCCGAAAAGAGAATCGAATCGCCAATCTCCAGTTCTCCAGGCCCTGCAGCACGACGTGAAAGTTGCGTGTTGCCCAGTTTCAGTAACACCGCCTCCAAATATCCAAACCAGGAGAATAAGTAAATGACAAGAAATCCGAACTTCAGATACAAAGAAGTTTGGGGAAGCGCCCTCCCAAAGCGACCAGGGGATATCGTTAGCAAAAGCAAAGAACAAATGAGAAATAGGAAACGAAATTCCGCGTATATAGTCGTCACTTAATCTTGAGTCGCATGTTCGTCGCTAAATGGGCTCCGTTCCCGGTCTTTAGAGCCAGGGGAACCAGAGGTCCGGTCTGAGGCTCTCCTCGTTGATTGCTCAATTACTGCACTCAACGTTGCTGTGCCGTGGGTTGCTGATCGGTCTACCGGGGGGGACGGGGGATCCGAGAAAGGCCCTTGATCCACGGCAGGCGAATCAATGATGATGGTGCCAGTAGTAGAGTCTCGTCCTGCGGATGAGGCAGTGCTGGGTGAAGTTGCCGATGAATCAGACGTCTTGGGCTTGACAGTGTTCACCTTCTTGACACTCCCTACTCGAACGACCATGGCGCGAGCAGGCGTGGCGGTGTTCAAGAAGGTGGATCCCACGCTGAACGTGCTATTCCTGCTATTTGTAGGACTCGGAGGGCGGAACCCGGTGTACTTCTCGAGATTCACGCTCGGCACAGGCGGTGTTGCGCTGCCACCGGAGTTATTTGAAAGACCCGACTTAACACTGACCATAGCTGGCCTCGCCCGCATGCCGGTTTGGGCAGGTGTGATAACAACGTTTTTGCCGTAGATGGTAGACGCCACGCTAGACCGCGGCGCATATGACGTCCGGGCGTAGGAGGTTCGGTCTGTGAAAGCTGATATGCCGGAATATGTAGAGTCGCGCAGATCGCCGGGAACGAAGAAATGCTGGTCTCCTGTAGCAGAGGGACTGCCGCCGTGGCCGATGGGAATCGGAGGTACGGGGGGAACAAGGACTGCCGGGGATGTTGGGGTTCGGTTCGTAACGCCAGGGATATATGCTATTTGGATGATGTTGGATGCTCGGGTGAAAACGGTGGATGCTACCGAGTTGCGGGTGTGTGTTGATGACCGGTTATGCTCGGCGAAAGACTTCTCGGGGCCGTCGTCTTGAGCCTGCACTCCATCCCACTCCTCCGGTGCAACAACTTGCCTACTCGACTTGATGCAATATCTCCAAACCAAATATGTGAGAATCGCAATCACAGCTACACCGCCGACAACACCTCCTGCAATGGCACCGACATTTGTGGAATTGCCTGCTGGCTCCGCATCTGGAGGCTGATAGGAATTTGAATCCGTATTGTCAATAGGAGCACAGATCATGTGTGCGCACTCCTTGCAGCTCGCGAGGATGGTCATGCACGCAGTATCCTCCGGACAGGACGGGCAAGAAAGTGGTGCCCTGTCGTCGCACAGAACACAAGTCCCATCGCGCTTGAAGAGGTTGCTCACCACTGTCGGTATCGGTTAGATCATACTTTTTCGACCAACTTCTCTTGCGGAAGACATACCATTCTGTGACATTGCGACGACCGCCATTTTGACCTATCTATAACGCTTGGCCTCGAGTTAAAGAGACGTGGTTGAGTATTTCAACGTGAAAGTGGTTGGTTTCTCGGATCGGCGCGTATGTCGACAAGTCAATCGGCCATGGACAAATGACCCCCGTAGATCTGCTGATCGGATGGATAACGGGACCCGTCAGTAATCGAGATGAGAGGCCGGCCGTGACGATTGTGTTTGTTGCGGGCGAGGCAGCGGGTTCGTTGCTTTACGCTCGCGGTGTCGACGTGAATGATGAGTGATGTCGAACTGAGGTGGGGATCAGTTGCTTCGGGCAAGGGTTGCGAGGAAATGATGTGATTGTCGTCGAGCCGCGATGGGTTCAATGAAGCGAGTCGTCGGAATGAGTCGGGTGGTGAGAGGTGGATGGCGAGTGGTGAGTGGTGAGTGGTGAGTGGTGAGTGGTGTTGATGGCGGATGAAGAAAACGAGTGACTGGGAGGCTAGCTCGGCAAAAGAATCGAAGGTGTCAACAAGAAATCAAGAGGGCATCTCTGATGGGGTCCCTTGAAGCTTGAAGAACTTGAAGCAAGAAGCAGCGAAAATGGAAAATAAGTCGTCGGGTCGCAGAACGTTGACGTGGATTGCGTGCGTGGTCAACGACTGGCGACTGGAAGGGAGCAACGACGTCGAAATGGAAGCGTTGTTGGTTGCTGCTGCTGAAGTGTTGTTGCTGCAGTAGTGTGAGACCCAGGGAGAGGAATTGGCCTTCTTTGAGAGAGTCGAGCCCTGGGCCCCGTTCCTGGTGCGTCGGGTGCCAGTTCCCTTCATTCTCCACTCCCACGTCTCCACTCACTTCACGTTGTGACTGAATTCCTGCACTGTGCATCTCATTTGCGGAAGGGGCCACTTGGGTAGCAGCACCACTGTAGCTACGCCCTCGCCGTGACGCCGCCAGCGAAAGCAGATGCCTTTTGCGCCTGTGGTACCTTGACGGCTTCTCGACCACACAGTGCCAGGAATGGGAGGACCGTCCCAAGTCCACTAGCGTGGTGGAGCCCTTTTGTTTGGAAGGAAACGTTCTGGAGGCGCAGCGCCGCCTCTTATTGGCTGGCTGAGACAAAGCCTGGACTTGTTGCCGACCTGCCCACGCGGTTCCTAGTGCCAAGTCCTCCCGCACGTTCGTCTGCACCATTCCCCTCTTTCATCATAAAATCGAGATCAAAGGATTGACTTTAAAGTTCTTGCCGCCTTTAGCTTCCTGCCCGCCCCGAGGTCATCAACCCGCCCCAAATACCGATCGAGGGGACAAATAAGCTCTGGACGGGAAGCATATTGACGACGGAAAAGTTGATTTATAAGGTATGGATTTCGCAAGATGTGATGATATGGATGGGATGGAGCCAATCACCGGCACCAGCAAAGGGTCTTCCCTGTCGTGCCTGTCCGCAACTCCATGGTTCGGAAGTTAGGATGGCTCGAGGATGGCTGCCAATCTCGACCAATTGGGGTCACGGAGATGTGCCTCTTTGACCTCGAGTCTCTCATCAAACTACTGCCCAATTTTCTCGCTTTCTCAGCCCAGTGAGGGCTTGCAGATCCTTTTCCCCTCTCGGTCATCTTTGGCACTTCGCTTGGCAGCATGTCAGCTTCACGCATGTCGCAGAGGCATCGCAAAGTTAACCAGCAACATCATTCTACCTCCACCATGTTTGGGTCGAGATCATAAGGTATACCTCCATATATGTCAGCATTACTTGGTTGGCAATACGCGCACCTGCCAAATCCATATTGGTCCAGCTTCTTTATAATCCCACGATACTCTATATTGCCCCGCAATCCAAGCTCGCCCTTCCCAGACAGACGATTTGATCCTCGATCCTTGATAACTTCCCCATTGAGGAACGGCTTCGGCGTGGGCAATCTATTCCGTGGGCATCACTCATCTCGTGTCGTCTTGGGGCGCCATGCCGTGGAACTCTGCTCACTTTCACCTATGGAACTGCTTTTGTTCTTGCGCAACTGAACCACAGAGCACAACAGTTACACGGATCACCAGGTCGATGAACGCCCATAGGGTACGCTAACCATTTCGGCTACGTCTGTACGCAGTAGCACATTACGCGCATTTGGTCGAACTTGGCGACGCTATGGATAAGGTGTGTATGGCCTTTGAGAGACGGCCCTGCTACGGGCTGCGTTTTCGGGACAACCTTCCAGAACAAAGACGAAGACGAACGGTGTACCCGAGCACCGGAGAGCGGGACCAGTCCTCCGCTCCGGAGCCATCGTTTTCGCTTCGGAACCACGGTCGAGTGGCACTGGCTGTTCAGAGTCAGGTCCGAAGGTGGCGGACGGCATTGTGCAGATTTCAAACTTGAGAAGCATTGCCCCTGGCGGCGGAATACGCAACGAAAACTGTCTCGAGAGGCAAAAGGAGCCGTGCTTGGTTTGTGGTTTGCTTCTATGCTCTCGACATTCCTAGGGAGCGACAAGGGAGCTTTATAGTGAAACCGCCCATCTTGAAACAGACTTGACCGACAACAGGCAAGAAGTAAACCGGCCGCGGCAGGGAATTATCACGTATTTGTTGCGGATTGCAAGCTGACGGAGGTTTCTCGGACTCCAACAAATTGCCATGCCATATAACTGGTGCCATTGAGGCTCTGACGCCAGACAAGACCACCATAGCATCCAACATCGACGACGACACTGGGGGGTTTTACGGCAAGAACCCGCCGCACGACCATAGCGATGTAGAGTTACTACGCTCGGTGTGGACGGTCAACAGCCCGACACCAAGCGGAATCATGAACTCCTCACGCTGTCGGCCGCCAGGGTAGCTTGAGACGACCCGTCAGCATACTATGTGGCCAGAAATGATGCGCTCAACCGAATCGAATTTTCGCTGATGTGGGATTGCGCAACCGCGCACCGCCGTAGCTATGCGTCAAACAACACACTGGCGACTGGAGGGCTTCGTACTTATATAGTTCGTCTTCTCCACCATGGTTGAGTGAGACGGGGCCGTAAGATCAATGGTTTACCGCCGCTCGTCAAAAAACCGGGGCAGGATGTTTGGCAACCCTTTCGGACATTCGCAAAACAATTCTTTATTTCCAGAGCAAGCAGACAAGCGCACAAGGTATGTAAGCAAACCAAAATTTGCAATATTCGACGTGCAGCCGGGACGCGCTTGTTGGTTGAACAAAGTTCCCACACAAAGTCTAGCTGTAACGTACGTTCGTGTGCCTGCCAGCGGCCCGCTGCTTGGTGCTTTGCTTCGCCTCGAATATGGCCCCAGCCAAATGCTCCTGTTCCCTCGTGTTGTGCCTCGTTCAGGGTCTTCCAAACCTTCTTTTGAGCGACGATCATGGTCTGTGCTATTTTTGGACGAGGGTGCGCGCGGCTCTGAGCAGCTAGCTACAGGTAGCAGCGAAGAGCCCCCCTTTCCTCTTCTTGTGCGCCAACGGCAAAGGAAAATTGAGCCTACAGCAATACGGACGGCTTCACTAGGTAAGCAATTGCCAATGTCTTGAGTTGTGGCCGAAATCATATTCTGTTTCCCGTTGCCCGTATCCAGTATCCAACGCGGCCACCGGCACCGAATGGGCACGGGACTGAATCAGTCTCGATCATAGCGAGCAAATGAAAAGAACGGTTCTCAACTGAGCCCTACCTATCATCATCATGTGTGTGACCCGGTAGGAAGATCAGTCCTGGGATTTCATGTCAAACATCGAACGAACAGCGGTCTCCCCGCCATTTCTCGTATGTACACCATGTACGCAGTAGTCACAAAGCAGCAGCATGTGCTATGCAATGCCAGTTGGCCGCAACTGTATTGGTGAACTTTCAACGTCGCGTGTCACTCCAAAAAAACCATGAATGCAATCAGCTGCCAGCCAGCCCAACCCGTGAGAATTTGGGAATTGAAAGAGTGCGTCAACATGTTTGGACTTTTGGAGCGGGTGGGTAGCGCTGCTGTTTCAGAGTCGCGGTAAACCAGAAGAAGGGGGCACCTATTTTCCGTATTTTACTGGGAGCTGGGCTGCTGGGGGGGCAAATGGAGGGGGAAACGGGGGAAACTGGGAGGTGGACAACCGGGACGATCCTGTCAGCGAGGGTTGACCCTGATATCATTGTGCCGCGATGTGTGGCAGCCACTATATATCAAGTTGGAGGGTCATTGATAACTTGAGAAGCTGGTGAGAAGCAGGATATCAACTCAACTGATGGTTGAGCGTGATGGAAGTGTCCGTCGTCTCTTTGAAAGGTGGGATGAAATTTGGAGATGTCGACTCGATCGATAACATTGCGCCCAGGCTTTAGAAGTTGGAGTTTGGACCCTGAAAGAACCTAAGCGGAGAGGAAATCCCCAATCCCCACGCATCTGCCCATCAGTACCTGCTTGGGTATAGAAAGCGGTGTCAATCATGGTCGCAGCTTGTACTGATCCGGTGCTGCGGACAGGAGACAGAGACATCTGAACTTGTGCATAACTCGTAAAAAAAAGCCAAAAGGGACAAACGGCAGGAGCAGCCAAGCGGAAGCCAAACGTGCATTGTGCAGACGCCGGCTGCTGCTTTGAAAAGAGGTCAAAGAAACATACATTATCCGACATTTTGGGACGATGAAAGAAAGTTGCATGTCCCCGGCCCCTTTTTCACAATGTTGGACAAAGCAAAAGTCGCCATCCTTCTTCGTTTTCCATACCTACGATGGGTCATGAAACGAATCTCAAGACTTTGTGGGACTCAGGGGCTCGATGGAACTCCTATCCGTCAACTTTGTAATGGGTGACACTAGCGTAGGGACGGCTTCCACTTGGTACACACAGTTGCAGCGGCATGAGCGGGCAGAGGCGGGACAGAATACATGGGACGGCAACACGACGACTGACGTAGGCCGGCTTCATTTTTCTCAACATGCCTCAGAGACTCCAACACGGAGTGGCTATCGCGATGAGGCAGCGCCAACCAATGCCCAGCATCAAGACGACACATTCACGACATTTCACTGTCGAGACCCGAGCCAGTTGAAGCCATCTCGCAATGGGATTGCATGGATGCATTCCTGAGTTGGTGGGGCCAGCCATTTTGGCCACTCGTTGATGTTCTTTTTAGAGGTGATTGCATCCCTGCAGCATTCGCCAGAGGAGGTTGCTAAGCCACGCCCTCCTGACAGTGCTGCTCCTTTTTCCGTGCCGTGTTGTGGTTGACACCTCACCTCCAGTGAGCCAATGTTTATAGCGAGCGAAAAAGACCGGGACCTGCAATGACCTGCAATGACCTGGACCAGGGCCCTCTCCGAAATCCCCACTCCTCCTGCCCCTGGGCTTCCAACCTAGAACAACCTATACCAATACCTCACTGACCGACCTGTTGCTCTCCTGAGATCTTGAAACAAAGGTTTTTGCCATTTTGTTTTGTTTCTCTTCCTGCTCAGTACCCTCACTCTCCAGGAAACAGAGGCATGTTCTGTTAGCATCGATACGTCCTGTCCCGTCTCTCGCTATCTTACGCATCCTATCGCTCGCCCGGCTTCTCTCGACGGCAGCTTTTGTTTGACCTGGAGTCTTTGCCAGCCACTTTTGGTCTTGGATCCCCTCCAGTCAGTCGCCAGTCTCCAGCTGACATCCATTCCCGCCTCGCCATTGTTTGCTGCCACTCTCTCTCCACGCCCACCTATCCGGAGAAAGAAGTCCAGCCCCGCTGTTCCTCAGCACACCGCGACCATTTCTTTGACCTCCTGGCCGGCGAAGGGCGTTTCGACCGCCAACCCCAACTCTCCATAATTATCCGACAGTGAATACCTTGTAATTCCTTCCTGCTCCAGCATCAACATCTAGGCTCCAGCAGTATTCGAGCTTTCTCTACATCCGCTCTTCCCAGTCCCTATTCCACGGTCCGCAACCATGGCGTACCACGGTCGGGGCGACGGCTATGAAGGCCACCAGCTACAAGATCTGCGCGGTGGGCACAACCAGGTAAGTTGGTTCTTTGTCAGACAGCGAATACTCAAGGTAGCCATGTTAACGCGAACGTCATGATCCAGGGCGACCAGCACGATGCGCAAGCCCCCTTCCTCTCCGAAAATCCTATCCACTACGACAATGACCGCTTGGGCGCCGATACGCCTCCAGTTCGCCCTGTCTCGGCGTATAGCTTGACCGAATCCTATGCTCCTGGTGCTGGCACCACGCGAGCTGGTGTCACTGTCAACCCTACCCCGCCACCTCACGGGGGTTATGGCGGCGGCGGCGTCAGCGTCAGCGGTGGTGTCGATCAGGGCTACAACTACGGGGGTGACTATGCGACGGATCCGGCGTACAGGATGTCCGCCATCGATGAGGACGAGAGCTGGATCCGTCGTCAGCAGCCCAACGCTGCTCCGGGCGGCGGCCTGAAGCGTTATGCCACCAGAAAGGTCAAGCTCGTCCAGGGTTCCGTTTTGAGTCTTGACTATCCCGTTCCTAGTGCTATTAGGAACGCTGTTCAGCCCAAGTACCGCGATGAGGAGGGCAACAACGAGGAGTTCTTCAAGATGCGCTACACTGCCGCCACTTGCGATCCCAACGACTTTACGCTCAAGAACGGTTACGATTTGCGCCCTCGCATGTACAACAGACATACCGAGCTTCTCATCGCCATTACGTATTACAACGAAGACAAGGTCCTGCTCTCCAGAACGCTGCACTCTGTCATGACGAACATCCGCGATATCGTAAACCTGAAGAAGTCCTCTTTCTGGAACCGCGGAGGACCGGCGTGGCAGAAGATTGTCGTTTGCTTGGTTTTCGACGGTCTTGGAAACACAGACAAGGACGTTCTCGACGTTCTGGCCACCATCGGTGTTTATCAGGATGGTGTTATCAAGAAGGACGTTGACGGCAAGGAGACTGTTGCACACATTTTCGAGTACACAACCCAGCTTTCCGTCACACCAAACCAGGCGCTCATCCGGCCCGTGGATGACGGCCCGCAGACACTGCCCCCCGTGCAGTTCATTTTCTGCTTGAAGCAGAAGAACACCAAGAAGATCAACTCGCATCGTTGGCTGTTCAATGCCTTTGGCCGTATCCTCAACCCCGAGGTATGCATTCTGTTGGATGCCGGTACCAAGCCTAGCCCCAAGTCGCTCTTGGCTCTTTGGGAGGGTTTCTACAACGACAAGGATCTTGGCGGTGCTTGCGGTGAAATTCACGCCATGTTGGGCAAGGGCGGCAAGAAGCTGTTCAACCCCCTGGTCGCCGTCCAGAACTTCGAGTACAAGATTTCCAACATTCTCGACAAGCCGCTGGAAAGTGCTTTCGGTTACGTCTCTGTGTTGCCTGGTGCCTTCTCGGCCTATCGTTTCAGAGCCATCATGGGCCGGCCGTTGGAGCAGTACTTCCACGGTGATCACACCCTGTCCAAGCTTTTGGGCAAGAAGGGTATTGAGGGTATGAACATTTTCAAGAAGAACATGTTCTTGGCCGAAGATCGTATTCTCTGCTTCGAACTGGTCGCCAAGGCTGGCCAGAAATGGCATTTGAGCTACATCAAGGCTGCCAAGGGTGAGACCGATGTGCCCGAAGGTGCGCCCGAGTTCATCTCTCAGCGTCGTCGCTGGCTCAACGGTTCGTTCGCCGCCAGTTTGTACTCGCTTATGCATTTCGGAAGAATGTACAAGAGCGGTCATAACATCGTCCGCATGTTCTTCTTCCACGTCCAGCTCATCTACAATATCGCAAACGTCATCTTCACATGGTTCTCTCTCTCTTCCTACTGGCTCACCACAACTGTCATCATGGATCTCGTCGGTACCCCGGTTACGGCTTCTAGCTCTTCGGCAGAACATCACGGTTGGCCCTTCGGTGACACGGTAACGCCCTTCTTCAACGCGGTTCTCAAGTATATCTACCTGGCATTCGTTATTCTGCAGTTTATCCTTGCATTGGGTAATCGGCCGAAGGGTTCCAAGTGGACATACATCACCTCGTTCATCGTCTTCTCGCTCATTCAGTCTTACATCTTGGTTTTGTCCGGTTATCTTGTTGCCCGCGCGTTCTCGGTACCGCTCGACGAACAACTACAGCTGGACAATGCTAAGAACGCAATGGCTTCGTTATTCGGCGGTTCAGGATCAGCAGGTGTCATTTTGGTGGCCTTGGTAACCATCTACGGTCTTTACTTCTTGGCCTCCTTCATGTACCTCGACCCCTGGCACATGTTCCACTCGTTCCCTTACTACATGCTCCTCATGTCGACCTACATCAACATCCTCATGGTCTACGCCTTCAACAACTGGCACGACGTCTCGTGGGGTACCAAGGGTTCGGATAAGAACGAGGCACTGCCGTCCGCCAACGTCAGCAAGGGCGAGAAGGACGAGGCCGTGGTGGAGGAGATTGAGAAGCCGCAGGAGGATATCGACCAGCAGTTCGAGGCCACCGTCAGGCGCGCTCTTGCTCCGTACAAGGAAGACGAGACGCCGGAGCCTAAGGATCTCGAGGACTCGTACAAGTCTTTCAGAACCATGCTTGTCGTGACTTGGCTGTTTTCCAACTGCATCCTCGCTGTTGTTATCACCAGTGACAACTTTAACTCATTTGGCATCGGGGTAAGCATTGCTGTTCACCTTCTTTTGACTTTGAACCACTTACTAACATACGTTAATAGCAAACTGCATCCGCGAGAACTGCGTGGTTCTTCAAGTTCCTTCTGTTCGCTACTGGCGCGCTCTCTGTCGTCCGCTTTATTGGCTTCTGTTGGTTCCTTGGCAGGACCGGTATCATGTGCTGCTTTGCCCGTCGCTAAGCTAAGCAAACCCAAAGCACGTGGTTGTTGTTGGAGCTTATACAATGTTTACAAAGCGCAAAACGGAAGGAGGAAGGGAGGAGGTTTGCTGCTTTTTGGCGGCGGCAAGGCGTCATGGTAGGGTAGTATCGTGAAACGGTCCCAAAAAGCCTACTTTTTATTACATGTGTAGTATCAAATGCTGGCTTCTCTTATGCTGGTATGAAAGGCTGTGTGGTGTTTCGCATTGTTGGGGTAAACTACTTGCTTGTTCGTTGGTTGGTTGGGTGTGACAATTATAGATGGAACAAAATGGGACACACTCTCTTTGACATACACAGGTTAATGTTTTAATTCTGGGTTACGATCTTCCAAGATGTCGACAGGAGCGAGCCAGCATGTATTGATCTTGACCTTGGAATGTCTTTGTGCAGCTAGGTCGAAAGAGATGTAAAGAGAGCTACGGGGATGGAGGGAATGTCTAAGAAGACATTAGGTCAGGGCGTTTTCTTCTTATTTCGTTCGTTAAGTCCGGACCGATTATGAATTTTAGTATCATAGAACTTGTGAACACTATGTAGTATTTGATAGTTCTTACTGTAAAACCCAATATACCAAATCCCGGATAATCAGGCGGGTCCCGGAGTGATAGACGGAAGATACGGGACCTGGACGGAGCTGCCGGAGCGGCGATAGAGCGTGTAACTTTCGGGACGTATTGTACGGTATGATACACCTTACCTAACAGCTAAAGTTACCGGAGGGTTGCGGCCACGGAATCCACTGTAATGATGAGATCACCGAATACTACCGATTGTGCACCCGGGGATTTGACATCTTTTCTATGTGTTTTACACCTCTGATTTAGTTACTGATTTCTATTTTAAAAGTACACTCCTCGACAGCTCGTTAAAAGGTTTCTTGAAGAATGTTGTAGAGACCTCGACGTTGTTGACGTGACGGGACAGTATTATAGCGGCGGGCGGACCAATCTGGAAGCGCCTGCCGGCCGGCGCTTTGCCTTTCTGTTATCGCGTGCCCCTCCCGCATCAAGGTGCCAGGTCTAAACGCCATCAGTTGGGTTTATCATATCACGTATCGCGAATCTGGATTTCGCATCACACCTGCCACTGTCCTGACAAATCGAGCGTCAACAAGAACTTCCGGCCTGACACATTTTGAAGCTTCCGCCTTCACTGCAGTTCCTCTCTTGTCGTTGGTAGCATTTTGGTCTAGTTTGACACTTCCTGTCTTGTCTTGTTTGATCTTTCCCCTGACACATATACCTTACGCACGACCGGTCCGTCATCTTGATCGATCGGAAATACCTTAAATACACCGCCCACGCACGCAACGCAACGCAGGCCTCGGCGTCATCCAATACCTCTATCCCTTTCCTACCTCCTGCAACCTTCGCAGACCCGTAGTTTGACACCTACCGCGTACATCATCTCCATCTCCGTCCTCTTTTCAACCAACCCTACCTTTCCCGCTCGAGCGCAAACCGAAACCCTCGACGACCTTGTCCCCCCCGTCCCTCGGCGCCTAGAAGACTTGAAGTCTGTTGGCACCCGCATCGCATATACATATCCGGCAAGCAAACACATACGTGGATCCGCGGCAGGGTCACCACCGTCAAGATGTTGAAGATTTGGTCTATGGTACGGAACACCACGATACTTTGATCCTTCTCCCATCAAGTAGGGCGCGCATGATCTGATGTGATCATGCTCAAAACGACCTAAGACGGGACGCGCGAAACTGTGATGCTGACACGATCTTGATCAATTATGTAGAAGAAAGAGCAGCAGAAGGCCGAGAATGCGGCTGGAGCTGAAAGTGGCGGGAAGAAAAAGAAGGTTACGGCGGCGCAGTTGCGGGTGCAGAAAGGTACGTAACGGCGATCCGATCGCAATCCTGGCCGGAGGCTGCCGATTCTCGGTCCCTGCTTCAACATGTCCGTTCGAGCTGAGCTGTCTTTGGCTCCGCCTAGTCCACAGCTATAGAGAAAGAACCATCAAGCTAACGCCATGTTGCCCTCCTCACGGGGCGGTAACGCCTAAAAACAGATCTCAGCGAGCTTTCACTAGGCAGCACAATGAAGACCGAGTTCCCGGACCCAGACGACATCCTCAACTTCATCCTCTACATCGAGCCGGACGAGGGCATGTACAAGGGCGGCAAGTTCAGCTTCACCTTCAACATCACGCCCAACTTCCCGCACGAGCCGCCCAAGGTGCAGTGCCGCGAAAAGATCTACCACCCCAACATCGACCTGGAGGGCAAGGTGTGCCTCAACATTCTGCGCGAGGACTGGAAGCCCGTGCTCAACCTGAACGCCGTCATCGTCGGCCTGCAGTTCCTCTTCCTCGAGCCCAACGCGAGCGACCCGCTGAACAAGGAGGCGGCCGAGGACCTGAGGTCCAACAGGGAGGGCTTCAAGCGCAACGTCAGGGCGGCCATGTCGGGCGGTACGGTCAAGGGTCAGACGTATGAACGGGTTGCCCAGTAGGTATCGGGAACCCAATCAAGCCAAAAGACTCAAAAGAAACATCAGTATCAGAAGAACTAGGCCCGTGCGTTCACCTCTTCCTCAGCCTCTCAGCCTCAAAAGTCTCAGCTCGCCTGGTTTTCAGCCTCAGCGCCTGCCTTATTTAGATCTAAGCGAACTGTGAGATAGCCCCAGCCCCCAGGTCCCATGGGGATGGTACAGGATGGCCCGGGAATCGGGATGAACACGCGCTATGCTTGGCGTGCAGAATGGAGTTGTGGGAGTGGAACTGCTGTGCTGCTCTGTCAGTGGGTGGATGGGCAGGCGCTCGCTCGCTCGCTCGCTGTCAGTCAGTTCACCGGCAGTTTCCTTATCTGTTTTAAGGCTGGTAGTGTTGGGCGGGCGGGGAGGGGGGAAGGGGGTCAGACGACGGACGGGGCGCAGGGCGGGAGCTACTACCTGACACGCCGAACTCCCCGGATCTACCTTACTCAAACATGGAAGCTCCCTAAGCTAAGTTCTAGGCTCTCTGCGGGCGGGTATGTAATGTAGGCGGGAAGACGAGGGACTGGAACGTACCTACATTGGTGGAAGCGAAGGAGGGGGAGGGGGGAAGAAGACTGGGGAATGCTAGAAGCGGATTCATTAAAGCGGCGTTTTTTTATATGACGAATGGACATGAAACGAGTTTCAATGGCCAAGGGAGTGGTGTTAATATGCACTTATGACGTCCCATCTGTACTTTTCCCTTGTTTTTGTTTGATTTCCTTTGTTCCATGGGGTTCATGTAGTGGCGTACTTACCACGTATACCCATCTTTATGATAGACACCTTCTTTCATATTGTTACCTTGCTCATGGATGATTCGACTTTGCAGACGACGGGGCATTGGCAACATGGTGCAAGTTCCTTTCCATTCTGACAGAGCATGTGGCATGGAAAAAGACGTTGTCAAAACATATTGACCACAACACAACGCAGTCGTTGTTAGTATGTCAGTGAAAAAAACAAAGGGTTTCCCTCTTTACCATTGCCTACCCCAACCACTCAGCACAAACCAAAGACACAATCACGAAAAAGCCTCCGAATATCGGTCCATTTCACATGCCGTCCTACTACCCCTGAAATCCAGATTCCAGACTTACTCTCACCTCTTTTGTGAGTCATCATTAAATATCAAGGATCACAACAACAATACCGAGAACAGGAGTCACAAAAACTAAACTATTGATCGGATTCGGAAGTGGAAGTGGAAGTGGAAGTGGGAGGTAACAATAACAAGCAAGCACATCATCGCCCCAGCCCCAGACACATTACCTAAATGACATGAAGGCATCCCCATGCAGTTTGCAGAGAAGGCGGGCCGAAGCCGCAGTGGCATGGCAGCTATGTACACAACAATGGACGTTGCCCGGTTCGGAGCTGTGTGGTCAACCAGTGAGGTGACATTCTGGAGACTGGAAAGTGACAGGGGTGTACCCATTCAATAATTCGTGGATCGTGGGCCACGGTTTGGGAGAGGCAGAGGGACCCGCTCAACCCCAGTTTTCAAGGTGACTTCGTCTCCTTTTCGGGGCGCTGGTCGGAGCTCTCATGGAGCTGTGAGAACCTCTGGAGCTGGGAGAGCCCACAGCTTGCTTGTGGATGGTTCCTTGCTTGTGACGAATTGTGGTGACATTGAGGAGGGGACGGGACCCGTCGTGGCAACTAGGAAACGGGTTGTTCTCACAGACTCCCTTACATTGACGAAGGTGGCATCATCGGAGGCAAGTAAACACACGCCAACAATCGGAATGACGGGAGTGGATACGGAACCTTTGACAAAAGCAAAGTGCGGAATTCAGTGCGTATGGAGCTTTGGCAATGCCGTCCCTCGAGGCTGTTGTCAGAGCTCCGTACCGGGGGGTAGGGCGACAACGGCGTGGACAATAGGGGCGGATCTGGTCGGTCCAGGGCCGGTAGTCCAAGACATCGGAGTCACCATTTGGCGTCAATTGCAACGCCTTGAAATTGGCTTGCAAAGGGTCCAGCATCGCCAGCATCTGGCTCGTGCGTGCTCCGTGTCGTCGTCTGCTTTGGGCCGGTATGGAGTCGGAATGGCCTCGCCTTGGCAATCTCTTGGCGCGCCCGGGCTTGGCTGGCACGGCTGGGGGCCCGGGCCAGTCACAGGCTCACAGCGAAACAGCAGAGGGGAAGCGAAAGCGGGTTTCACGCTTTTGGAGACAGAGCTTCCCAGGTTGGTTCCCCAGCGAGGCCCCAGCCATAGCTCGCCAAGATGTCCACTATGGACCAAGCTGTGGACAGGGGGCCCCACCCACAGCTTCGGCAGCTCTCGCCAGCGACCGACTTCGGTGACAGCATGGCAGCCAGCTCCAACCACGGACGGGTCGCGGACCAACCAGAGCGTCTGTTTTGCGGTGCGCGTTGCTCGAGTCTGGCAAACGGGAGGGAAATTTAAAAATTTGGACCCGCATATCGGTGACTACTCGGCAGCGTCAGACAGTCACAGACAGTCAGACGGTTGGGATCAATAAGGTCGTGGTCCTCCGTAGCTGCTCCGTACTAAGCTGCCGCTCCTGAGCTCCGGATCTCCTCAAAAGCCAACCATCTCTTCCCCTCTTGCTTCTCTTCTTCTCTCCCGTCCTTCTTTCCTTCCCTCCCCATCCATCACATCATCCCCCAAGCAATCCATCACAATGGCCGCCCGCAACTGCACCAAGGCTCTCCGCCCCCTGGCCCGCCAATTGGCCACTCCCGCCGTCCAGCGCCGCACCTTCGTTGCTGCTGCCAACGCTGTCCGCGCCTCCGTTGCCGTCAAGGCCGTTGCCGCCCCTGCCCGCCAGCAGGTCCGCGGTGTCAAGACCATGGACTTTGCCGGCCACAAGGAGGAAGTTCACGGTGAGTCCATATCCAGATCCACTCAATTGGCAGCCATTGGGCCGAAATCTCAACATGACTGTTTACTGACGAGCTGTCCCTACATACAGAGCGCGGTGACTGGCCCGCTGAGAAGCTCCTCGTGAGTCATGCCATCTCAATTACACAATTTCAACCAAGCTGCCCTCAGAAACAAATGTGCCCATAGCTCCAAGCCCAGCCCCCTCATAGCTCAGCTATGAGCTTTCCCCAACCATGGATCATCCCAAGGTTTGGGCGGGGCACGGCGGTGGCGTGAGCGGGTCAAACTTGCTCACGTGAAATACCATACTGACCCTTTTATTTCTGTAGGACTACTTCAAGAACGACACCCTCGCTCTCATCGGCTACGGCTCTCAGGGTCACGGCCAGGGCCTCAACCTCCGTGACAACGGCCTCAACGTCATCGTCGGTGTCCGCAAGAACGGCAAGTCCTGGGAGGATGCCATCCAGGATGGCTGGGTTCCCGGCAAGAACCTCTTCGATGTCGATGAGGCCATCTCCCGCGGCACCATCGTCATGAACCTCCTTTCCGATGCTGCCCAGTCCGAGACCTGGCCCCACATCAAGCCCCAGATCACCAAGGGCAAGGTGAGTAACAACGCTTACACCCAAGGTGCCCTTGAGTCTCTTGGCGCGAGCTAACCACCATCTTCAACAGACCCTCTACTTCTCCCACGGTTTCTCCCCCGTCTTCAAGGATCTCACCAAGGTCGAGGTCCCCACCGACGTTGACGTCATCCTCGTCGCCCCCAAGGGCTCCGGCCGTACCGTCCGCTCCCTCTTCCGTGAGGGCCGTGGTATCAACTCCTCTTTCGCTGTCTACCAGGACGTCACTGGCAAGGCCAAGGAGAAGGCCGTCGCTCTCGGTGTCGCCGTCGGCTCCGGCTACCTCTACGAGACCACCTTCGAGAAGGAGGTCTACTCTGACCTCTACGGTGAGCGTGGCTGCCTGATGGGCGGTATCCACGGCATGTTCCTCGCCCAGTACGAGGTCCTCCGCGAGCGCGGCCACTCCCCCAGCGAGGCCTTCAACGAGACCGTTGAGGAGGCTACCCAGTCCCTCTACCCCCTCATTGGTGCCCACGGCATGGACTGGATGTTCGACGCCTGCTCCACCACCGCCCGCCGTGGTGCCATCGACTGGACCCCCAAGTTCAAGGACGCCCTCAAGCCCGTCTTCAACAACCTCTACGACTCCGTCAAGAACGGCGACGAGACCAAGCGCTCTCTCGAGTACAACTCCCAGCCTGATTACCGTGAGCGCTACGAGGCTGAGCTCGACGAGATCCGCAACCTCGAGATCTGGCGCGCCGGCAAGGCCGTTCGGTATGTGACCTCATCTGCCCCTCTGCTACAAAGTCCCTTGACTAACATTTCTCTTCTAGCTCCCTCCGTCCCGAGAACCAGAAGTAAACAACTGGCGTTCAATGCTTTTTGGTTGGGTGGTGATTTCTGCTTGCACGAGGGATACACAAATGATACTCCGGTAGTTGGGCAGGTTTGAAAAATGACAGACACACACACGCTGCACAGGCCGCATCATGACTGGCCGGCCGCTGGAACGGGACGGGATACCTCTGGGAAATATGGGGGATATTAAAAAGCCTTTTCTCCGACGTCTCTTCGATTTGGTTTGTTCTGGGTTCAGTTTGTTCGGATTGTATATAATTATCTTTATGGGGGGCCTCTGCCCGGTGGCATGTCGGTCAATGAACTTTTCCTTTTTTCTCTGTTCAATTGCTTGGTCTATGCCCATGCTTTGGTGATCTGCATCTTATATCGGACGAGCTGCCACTGACTTCACCTCCTAGTTTCTCTCTATACAGTATATACCTCTTCTCTCAATCGCCCTATTCACTCCTCACCAAACAACCTCCCCAACGCCGCCAACTCAACATTCCCCCCACTAAACACAACCCCCAAATCCCATCCCTCCTCCCCTCCTTCCCTCTCCACCATACTCCTAAACTCCTCATTAAACAACGCCACCGCCAACCCCACCACAGCACTCGGCTCAACAACAACCTTCATCCTCTCATACACCAGCCTCAGCGCCTTCTTGATCTCCTCCTCGCCCACACTGTACATCCCCGCCACCAGCTTCCTCTCATAGATGATACTCCACGGATACGCACCCAGCGGAGTCCGCAACCCATCGGCGATGGTCAGCGAACTGACACTCTCGATCCGTTGGCCCGAGTAGTACCCCCTGCGCCCGTCGTCGGCGCCGGAGAAGGAGGGTTCGGCGCCGAAGACGAGGATTGGACCACCGGAGGAAGGGTCGAGGTCGGAACAGGCGAGCGCGGTGCCGGAGAGGAGACCGCCGCCGCCGCAGGGGGTTATGACGGCGTTGAGGCGACGGTTGGTGTTGCCGGAGGTGGATAGGGAGGCGGCGACTTGCGATTGGAGTTCTAGGGCGGCGGTGCCTTGGCCTAGGATAATGTCTGGGTCTGTTGTAGGAGGGTGAAGGTTAGTGGGTGAAGAGAAGGATGAAGAGGAGGGTGAAGAGGGAGGTGAAAAGGAGGGTGAAGGTTAGTGGGTGAAGAGAAGGATGAAGAGGAGGGTGAAGAGGGAGGTGAAAAGGAGGGTGAAGAGAAGGGTGAAGAGAAGGGTGAAGAGAAGGGTGAAGAGAAGGGTGAAGAGAAGGGTGAAGAGAAGGGTGAAGAGAAGGGTGAAGAGACTCTGAAGAAAGCTTAAAGCGATTCTCAAGAGACTTTGAGCAGACTCCGAAGAAAGAAACTATGGAATGATGAGGGGAAGGGGGGGAAGGGAAAGAAATCAAGACCCACGATCATAAGGCGGCACCAGCCTCGCACCCGTCTTCTCAATCACCTCCTGAGTAACCGCCTCGCGCTCGGTACTCGTGCTTCCGCTAAAGGTTATGTTGGCGCCGTACCCCTTTGTCGCTGCGATCTTGGGCGGAGGAGAGATAGTAGGCATAACGATGTACGCCGGGATGCCGTTCTCGCGGGCGGCGAGGGAGAGGGCTTGGGCGTGGTTACCTTTTCAGTTGCCATGTGTTAGTATATAGTTTGGTTTGTCAGTTCTTCACGTAGCTACTACGTCTTGTACATATCACATCACACATCCCATACACATCCTCACACATCATCTCAACCCCGTCTCACATGCTTACACCTCAGACATCTCACAACCTCACACACACCAAAACCCACCCCAAAAAGGAAAAACACGAAATTTCACAAACCAGAACTATGCGTCACCACCCCGCCCTTCCTCAACCCCTCCAGCCCCTCAGTCTTCTTCAGCCTCTCAACAGCATGAAACGCTCCCCTAGCCTTGAAAGCTCCAATCCGCTGGAAATTCTCGCACTTGAACCAGAACCTAATCTTTGGGTTCGCCGGTCTTTCTGTAGCCTCCCATTCCGTCCCTTTCAACTCTTCGGGCGTGCGAGGGGTGGAAGCGAGTTGGTCGAGAGTTGTATTCGTGAGAACGGGCGTCTCGTGGATGTAGGGTTTTATGAGGGAGTGAGCGGCTAGGACGGAGGCGCGGGTGAAGGGAGGGGTGGTGCTGGGGTCGGCCATTTTGGGGGGGTTTCGGGGTTGTCAGTTTTGTTGACTTTGTTGTTGATGGTGGTGGTGGTGGAAGAAGGTAATGTGAATGAATGGACGATATAAGGACACCGGATGAGAAAGGAAGGATGAAACAAGACGCAGGTTCGATCACAGGACTGTATGATAGTCTTTGGTTCTAGAATTCGGTGTCAGCTTCCCGTTCCATCGAAAGCGGGGGACCCCCGAACGGAGCGGGGGCGGGCCTGGACGGCGGAGGTGCGGGATCCCAGCCCACGCCGAGACCGGAGCCGGGGGTGCTTATTCAAACAACCGGACGGAAAATGACGAAAGATGACCGGGATGGCCTACGTTATGGGTTCCTTGTGTGAAAATGCTGAAGCATGGAAGAATTCGAGAATACGAGAGGATGAAGAAGGCCGATAACGGAGGAGGAAATGGGATTGCGATATTGAGCCCGAAAGGTGAGAATTACAAGGGACGGCCCTGATCCAACAGCTATTGAGCTATCCCTCTAGTTAAGCGTGTGTACCTGATCGTCGCGGCATGTTATCGTTGGGAAGGGTGGGAAATAGCAGCTTGCACAAGAAGGTCTCCCAGTCACAACTCCAAGATTACTCTTGAGAGATCAATTCAAGTCTGCGAGCATGCCGAACTTGCTGCCACGCTATCAAAGTTCTGTCAGGTATCGGCATATCACAACTTTTAACCATCCCTGTCCATCATGTAACTGAAAATCATCTTCAAAGGCCAATATTGTTAATATCATTCACCCTTGAAGCCACATGCCCAAACATACAAACACTTGTTCATTAACCATATGCATCATCTTGTTCCCCCCGTACATAGGAACATTCCCCATCCACCCCTCTACATGCTCATTTGGTTGTAAGCATTGATAAGCTCGTTAAGCTTGTTTCCTTCCATCTTGTAGTCAAGCGGCGCCGCGCTCATGACCTGGTATCGAACCCTGCAAGAAGCACTGTGTCAGTAACGTCCATCTAATCGTAAGAGAAAGTCCGATACGTACCTCTGTTGTTCACCGAATGTGTCCATCTTCGCCCTGCACCTAAAGTTCAACTTGCGGCAGTTGGCCTGCTCAAACTCTGCGGCCAACCGCGTCTCGTCGGTCTCCCGAATCTCCATAAGTTCATCGGCCGACTTGCCCATGATGATCCGCGCCGTGTCGTCGAAGCAGCTAAGCCAAAGTTGACCTGTGTGGTCGTTGACGTTGACGCTCATGATGTAACGGTACTGAGGTCTGTCGTGGTTGATCTGGCACTTCTCGCAGCGCCAGGTACCATCACCCATATCTGTGACCTTCCTGTTACAGCCTTCGCTCCGGCAAGCAGGATAGGCAAAGTTATCCTGCTTGATGAATACAACAGTTGCCTTGAGAGAGAAGTAATCCGGCGCCTCGTTTGTGCCAAGGTTTTCTTCCTTCACTTGTGAGATGGTCTTAGTGTCGTCCTTGCGACCGGTCGCGCCACCCAAGGTCTGCATGTTGTTGTGTGTGGCGAAGGTGTTGTTTCTGCCGCTGCTATCATACCAGCCCTTGAGGTGGTGAGCCTCTGGAATATCCGGATCAATGGCCATGGTACCAGAGGAGAGCAGGGACAAGCTGCGCCCACCGAAATCGCTGACCTTTGTGCCCTTAAAGGCCACAATGGACTCGGGCTGAGCATCAAAGTTCGTGGCCGTCTTGCCCCAGATGGTACAGCGTACAGAGTATCCAGTGTTGTCGACAAGGGTCAGCTCGCGCTTGTCGTAAGGCTTCTGCGTGGTCTTGGACACGATTTGCGTCACCTCCTGGACCTCTTTGAGAACACCAATCACATCGACAGTAGCATCTTTCTCGACATCCTGGAGCTCCTGGATGTTAACAAAGTTGAACCGTACCTGTGGTACAGAGGTCTGGTCTTCGGCCTTCTCGATCACAGTATCCCGTTCAAAGGTGAGCTCGTAATCGTTGGGAAGATTCGAGAATTGCTTCTTGGCGAGTTGCACCCTGCAAGGGGTAGAAATGTAGTAAACCTGACCCTCCTGTAGCAGATCGTAGAACTGGTCGACTTGGTCATTGAAGCCAGTTGCCCTAATCTCGCCACTCTCGTCAAGGAAGTTGACGCTGAAGAGCTTGCCCTCGCCGCTAGCCTTGTGCCAGGTCTTGATATCGGACTTGGAGGTGACTCTGGCCTTGATGGTCCATTTGTGCGAAAAGGGCGAGAGACCTTCGATAGGATATATCGTGCTTGATCCATGACCTCCGCTGGCATTACGCGAGGGCATCTGGCGCGGAAACTGCGGTTTCGTGTCTTGGGTTGGCTCGCTCTTGACGCCGTAGAAGCCGGTGCTGCCAAGGTTGGGGTTCTGCTGTGGTTCTGCACTCCGGGGGCCAAGAGGCTGCGGATCGCCCATCTTTTCGGGACAGCCGAGGGACTGGATAACTTCGAGATCGAGGACAATCAAGATGCTGGGTTTAAATTGTCAGTATTATGGCGGGACCCGGGTTGGTAGAGGGAGAGACAGGCGTACCTTTTGCCCTTGAGGCATTGAGCTTGGTACTGCTTCAAGCGCACGATACAGCCGCGTTGTAAGAGGCCATCATGGACGAGATGGTTTGTTTGTGTGGCCATCATGCACTGGACGTAGTTCTTGAGATCGCTCAGCACGATGCGGAACCTCTCAGTGGCGCCCGCGCCTCCGTTCTTGGAGTCGAGGGTCTTGATCTGAAGACATTGAAGGATGGGGACGGGAAATTGTTGTTGGGCGCGATCGGGATCATTGAACATGGCGCTATAGCAAGAAGTCAGAGTCTGTCATACTGGATGGAAGCACACGTGAAGAAACCTACTCCAGAGCGCCCTGTGTGATTTGGCCCGCCATCTTGTGTAGTGTTGGCGCAAAGCCCGCGGACGTTCTCGATGTTGTTTTTGAGGTTGATTTGTGCGTGAGTCGTATTCGAAGATGTAATGACTGGGTGCAGAAGTCGGGAAGGATCCGACGAGATACGGATGGATTGAGTGCTCGAGTGATGATGGTGGTCTGGAGGGGAAATTCACGGCAACAATGGATTGTAGAAGCGACGCGTTTGGTAGCGCGTCGAGGGGCAAGAGTTTAATTGCTAGGCATCCAGGGTCCGTGCGGAGGGCCCCAGTACACTACAGCGCCTTGGGTCGGCGTTTGGTACCTGTACTGTATTGCTGCTGGGGACCCCTCTGCCTGCCGCGTACCCTGTACAAACGAAGAAGGCGTCAATCACGCAGCGTGAACTGTGTGCTGACGGGAGTGTTGCTGCCAAGCGATTTTGACAAGCATGGCAGTTGAAACCAACCCCATATCTCCACATCAAACCCCACCTGAGAGCTAGAACTAACATGTCTTTATTCACACAGCCATGTGATGACTGTACACGACGTGGGCACTTTTCCTACAGTGCTGTAGGAAGACGAAAGGGAAAAGGACTCGAGGTCAAAGAAGTGGAAGCCGGAGATGGGGGTAACCACTCTTGATCAGGAACCGTATTATCGTATCTTTCGGTGTGAATTGTCCCGTCTTGGGCCTGCCCTTTGCTGGGCTACAACCATGCCATACCCCACCTCGTCGTGGTTCCAGGCTGAGTGTCGTGTCGATCCCATCTCCCACCCCCTCCTGACCATCGAGGTGCTCTCCTCGTACTGTACCGCGTGCCTGCCAATGCTAATATCGGATGGAAAGTATAAGAAGGAGAAGGCTCGATTGGGAGCCCCCCCGTTGCCTCAGCTGAGTCCCGTTCATACGACTGTGTTCAACTTTGGTTTGCCTGCAGAACGGTACACCGCTTCGACCTTCATATTCCATTCTGACCTTAACCTCTACTGCCATCTCTGAAATTGTTCGCTTGTCTTCCTCTCTTCCTCTAACTGTGCTGTTACTGAAGCCTACTTCCTTGCCAAACTTTTCTGTCACTCTACCAACATCAAGCCCGACAACGACCTGATCAAGATGGCATCCTCTCCCGCCGTCTCCGTGCCCATCATCGACTCCCATATTCACCTTTACCCCCAGTCCGAGGTAGAAACCCACCAGTGGTACGCTCTCGCTGAAGGAAGCCATCTCGCCAAACAGCACTCCATCCAGGAATATCAGACCGCCACCGGTGCGCCTGGCAATCTTCAGGGCTTCGTCTTCATCGAGGTTGACCGCAAAAACGACAATGCCAAAGATTGGACTTATCCACTACAAGAAATTGCATGGCTCCGCCGCATCGTAACCGGCCAGCCGAACCCAGGCGAGGGTCACACGGCTGAGGATGGCCGCGACTGCCTTGGAATTGTGCCATGGGCGCCTGTTGTGTTGGGTACTGCAGAGCTGGAAAAGTATCTTGCTGCTGCGGAAAAGGAAGCCGGGCCTGAAACATGGGCCAAGGTGAAGGGTTTCCGCTACCTGTTGCAGGATAAGCCCAACGGAACAGCGCTAAGTGACGATTTTATCGAGGGCCTGAAGCTGCTTGGCAGGAAGAAGTTTGTCTTCGACCTGGGTGTCGACCAGCACAAAAGAGGGAGGATCCAGCTGGAGGAGGCGGTAGAGATGATCGATCGTGCACACGACGGCGTGGAAAACGAGGAAGACAAGGTGGTCTTCATCTTGAGTAAGTTCGCAATCCAGCACATCTAAAATGGGACCGAATGCTAACTGATGGCCATCATCTCAGACCACCTTTGCAAGCCAGATCTAACCATCGTCAACGTACAAACGGATCCCTCATACATCGCCTGGCGCACCGCCATGTTCACTCTCAGCAAGTGCGACCGTACCTACATGAAACTAAGCGGCTGCTTCAGCGAGATGCCCGAGTGGTTGAGGGCTCGCCCGGCCGAGGAAATTCTCTCTGCTATCCTTCCCTGGCTTGCCGTGGTGATAGCCGCCTTTGGGCCCGAACGCATTATGTTTGGCAGCGACTGGCCAGTGTGCACTCTAGGTGTTGGTGATGAAGCCTGGAAGAAGTGGCGCAGAGTGGTGGAGATGACATGCCATATGGCTGGCTTGGGACCCGAGGCTCAGACAAGACTTTGGGCGGAAACAGCGAGGGAAGCGTACAAACTTGGTAATCGTCAGGTCTACAAAGTCGTAGACCTGACGAGAGACGCTCCCATTGAGGAATAGGATTAATACCACCAGAAACAGAAAGGCTATCTTCTTTCTTGCTCAAAATTGTGTCATCCTTTCATCTCCCAACGCTTGAACGGCGAAGGGGATAATTTGGAGATAGAAATGTTACATATGATTCATGTTCGGACGCAAAGCCCCATACGCTTGTTCGCCCCTTTGATATTACATCGAACCTCAACTACAATGTTGCGATTCTGGCAACCCAAGAGTGCGAGCCGGTTCAAATGAATACAAGTGTGGGATGCCAAACTTCCCTATGTATAAAGCAGAGAACACGGGAAAATTCCACCAGTTCTGAAGCCAGGAGATCGGATTGCATGCCACCGAAGCTATTATATACCACAAAGATGGTATCCCTAACGCGGACAGAATCATGGCGATCATTTTTCAAGAGCAGGCTTATTGTTGCTTCGAAGAAACAGTCCAAACCGTAGCCAAAGCAGACTGTCTTACATCCAGACATGTAAGACTCCAAGCCAGTTACCAACGTTCCTGCTCCTTCCCTTTTTACGCTTTTCCATTGCCCGGTGGCCCGGCAACCCATCGCCAGGCTACCACCAGCCCCACAGGTCTATATACTACCTCTTTCACCCCATCTTCCAACGTCTCCGAATGGGACATATGGTCAAGCGGTTCAACGAAGCATTGCAACAGGCCAGACTCACAGGCCCAAGCCTACCCGTTCGATTCCCGGCGGCAGCACTCGAAACTCGATTTTCAAAGGGAATGCCCGATTTGGGTCGGGCTGTCAATAGCCCCCTTCTCTCCTCCCCTCCCCTTTGAACCGCGGGATCATTGTTCCATTACCCCCTTTTTTTTTATTGCTTTACGACGAAAAGCTCTGTCCTACCGTTTGTTGCTGTGCGCGCGGGTGATGATGCCGAAGCTGGCGAGGCACCAACTTCCAAATCTCATATGCAAGCGAACCAGAGTCAGTCAGAACAGCGTCGAAATTCAAGTACGGCATCAGAAACTCTTGGTTTCAAGTTAGTTCTCATGGCGTTTGGATTCACAACCTACAGGAGTCTGGAGGGACTTCGTCAGCTGGATCACTCAGTTCTCAAGCCTCGCTCGTAAACAGACTACCTTATGTAGGGAGAAAAACTGAGGTGGATGTTGGGGGACATGGACTGACGGGGTGCTTTTTTTAGACGGGGAGTAGTGAGGTTTTGTCTGGGAAGTGGTGTAGGGAGCGATGAAGTGTGTACCTGGAGGAGCGAATACATGGCGAATCATAGTTCTCTTCGGGCGCTTATAAATTCATGCTCACCTCAAGACTGACCTAATATCAGCTTCGCATGTGTCTCAAGAGTTGTCAATGCAGGTACCGACCGGGAAAGATGCCACATAATACCAGCTCATCCAGGAACGGGATGGGATATAGGAGTGCCCGGGTTCGGTACATACTTCCACTCCCTTCTTCGATGCTTCCATACCCCTTCCAGGTTCCTTCCAGGCTCCTTCCAGGCTCCTTCCAGGCTCCTTCCAGGCTCCTTCTACACTTCTTCCATCGCCGCGGTGTAACACCAGTTTCTCTCAAGTCCTCAACTCCGAAACAGTGGCCTCCTCCGTTGGTCGGGTAGACCTACCAGGACTTACTTACCCTCCTGTCCATTTCCGGTGGTCATCTACCTCACTTGACTCTGGTCTCACTTCTATCCCAATCCAGGCTGGCTCCCCAGGGTACAGACGACGTAGATCAAGGCAGGTTTATGGTATCTCGGATCTTCCCGTACCAGAACCTTGAATCTGACGTCGTACACTCGCGGAGTACATACACTCGACGAGTCGGCCATGTCACAGCCAGTGAATCAGTGAATCACTTTGTTTCTCGTGTTGACGCGTGTCGGACGGCTGAGAGCCCGTATGGCGCCGTATGGCGTCGGTAATGAAGTGTTTCAAGGTGAGGACATACGCCGGTTGGTGCGCGGTTGGTGCCTGAGTTTGTGATACCTTGGGGTAAGTAGAGGTGGGTTGGGGAGTTACACGGCATTGATACAGAATACCTACATCTACGCAGAAGCGGTTTGAAAATTGCTGGAAAAGTAGCCGGCGGGCCATATGGCTTGGTGTTGTTGATACCGATCGAGCTAGAGTTGCATGAAAAGGCTTCTTCTTTCTGGTGTAGAAGTGAAGTGGCAGGCTTCTGGAAGTTTCATTGATATTGGTGTGGCTTTTTGGTTTCACGGGATGTAAGTGATTCGAGGGTAGGTAGCTTGTCCGGATGTTTTGCTCCCTGTGATCCAGTTATCACAGATGAAGTTAACTCTGTGTCTTTCCCTTCGGTATCGTGTAACGATCAATTATGACTTTTCTAACTCAACCTTCTGAAAGACTATGTATGCTAGACACATGTCAATTGATAGTGCCGATTGGATCACAAACGAAGAACGGTCAGGATTTGAGGATGACGACGGATGGTCTTACTGGGTTAAGTGTTTTGTCGACGCCAGCTAGAGGCATGATTTGCCATTCCATATCCCATTAGCATTATCACAGAGTTCTCTCCATGAACAGGTGTGATGTATTGCGTTTGTGTCCAAACAGCCTCAGTCTCACTTCATCCATCCACCACCCATCATCCATCCATCCACAGTCCGCGCGGACCCCGTCCGTCCCGTCCATCTGATCTTGAGGTTGTCTTGCCGGTGTCTTATTTCGGCGTCCCATATCCCATTCATTCTCCCATCACCTCACCGCAGTCCTTCCGTTCGGGGCCCGTCCGTCCGTCCGTCCGTCGGTCATTCGAACTGGTTAATCCACGGAAGTCCGGACGGCACCCGATAACAACATCCGGGGAAAATAGTGGAGTAAGTGCACCGCCCAGCGGCCCCTGGTCCTGCCCTGTCGCTCCGTCAACTCATGCGCTGCTACTGCAACCCCCTTGGACCCTTGGCGGGACTCAGTGACAGCTGCAGAAAGTGGATTTTTAGGGGACCACCGGGTCCCCTTTTAGGGCGCCTCGGCGCTTTGTGGGGGTCGTTAACAACAACGCCAAAACCAACATCCCCGGATTTGTTTGCCACTCAAGCCGTTCGGGGATCCATAAAGATCATCGGGCCTTCTATATTTGGAACTGTAGCGAGCAAGTGGACGACAGGAGGACAAGTTCTCGAACCGATCTGCTTGTTTCGAGAGTTCCTGATTTCTCCGAGAGCAGGGTCCACAGTTTACTGGCGAGACTGGATCGACGAAGGGGGAGTTCGTATTGTGAGCAAGATTACGTATACTACGCGAATCGCGAATCGATCTGCTTGGTGAAGCGGAAGTAAGGCTGTTCCGTTCTGACTTTGTCTGGCAATCTGGAAGTTTCTGATTATTGTTTAGTCGGTGGGGGGAACTAAGTTTTGTGGTAGTGTTTTTAGTGTTTATAGCAACAGACCAATCGTTTTTGGACGTCATGTTTGTGATGATGACAGTGGTGTACCCTTGTTTTGCAACCCAAAAACAAAGCGAGATGGAGTGGTAGAAGATGTATGGTTAGTCGTTGTTAGTGCTGATAACATAAGACCAATCGTCAAAGGCTGAAATATTGGTTTTGTGATAAAGGGTCTTTGGTCTAGACGACTGAGAACCGAGACATGAGGTCTTTGGGATGTCATTGGGGTGCATGCCGATGTAGTTGGTCTTAGTTGTCCAATAATATTGTTAGTGACAACAACTGGTGGAAGCGATCAGTCAGTTCTGATGCAGTATTACAGAGCTTTTTGTTGGGGACGGCAGAGAACAAAAGAGACGATCACCTATGGTTCTGGCGTCATATCTGAGTGACGGGTTAATCTTTTGTTGCCGGGGAAACCAAAACATCATGTCACATCAGTAAGTTGCCTGGGGCTGAAGAAGTCGAACTGAGGTACGTTTTGTAGTATTAGACTAAAACACAGCTTGTATTTGTCCGCCATGAAGGACCATTATCCTCGCGAGAATTTTTGTGTGCGATGTAATAAGGATGTTTCGTAACCGAAGAACCAAAGACGACGAAGGCCTTTCCTCAACCATTTTTGTGTGCGCCCATTCCCATTACTCCATTACATCCCCGCCGTGACTCCAAGTGATTTTTGTGTTGCCCATGTACCGTGGAAAAAAGAAAAAGACAACAACAAAGGTTCTCTCGCTGAGAAGCTTTCGACCTTGACGAAATAAGAATGCTTGCTTGCTGGTGCGACGAAGACGGTGATGAAGTGATACAGTGTATGTGTACAAGAGCCTCCCGATTACGGCCTATGCGGCCTCCCTTGAAATGAGACAAGCTCTGGTGCTCGACCCGCGACCCAAGAAAAGAACAGCCGGAGCTGACTTAACGGCGGACGGTGGATGGCCAATGATGATCCCGGAAGCTGACGGGGCTTGGAGGAGGAGGAGCTGGCACCGAGTAGTCGTGCTCTTGGATGGTGTGACTGGGTGTTGACGGCTGGGTGTTCTTGCTGAAGGAAGCATTGACAGTCGCGAAAAGATCTTGCGAGGTCATGACGCCGAGGTTCGGGCGAGGAACCGAGATGGGGGTAGGCTGTGCGATTTGGGAAGGCATTGTGAAAGAAGTCTGACCGGAGTTAGCCAAGTGATCTGTGTGAGGGAAGCAGTCAAGGTGAAGCTTACGCTACGCTCGAGTTTTGTACTTGTAGAAGTCTTGAATATGTAGACGGTGTCTGGGAAGATATGTCTCGAGAACGGGGAGGTGATGGAGCCCGAGCCGGGTTTTAATAACTGAACAAGTCGAGGATAGACGAAAAGTCGAGACGAGTCTAGTGTGGCCTGTGTTTGATGGCGGTAGTCTGGTCCGAGATTGTCGAGTTGGGCGAGATTCGTGGCTTGTTTTATGATGATTGTAGTACGGAGAGTCCGACAAGCAAACGATGTGGTCTTTCCGAGTGGTCGGTGCCGTGAACGGGGAGAGGGGGGAAGTTCGAAGGGAGAAAGTTGAGACCAACAAATTCTTTTATGGTCCAGTTCGGGTCCGGCCAGAGAAGGGTGTGGAACTTGCCGTTGGGGAAAGAGATGGCAGGTTTGATGGAGGGAAGGAGAGACGGGAACGGTCAGGTAGGGCAGTGGGGACTGGACTGACTGGGAACTGGGATCTGGGGGAAAGCAAATCTGGGGAAGGACGGGAGGTTCAAAGGTACTTGTAAGTCACCAGAAACATTTTGGCACTCTGACATCCGAAATGTGTCTTATCTCTTATTAGCTGGGGCGGCATGAATGGCCGCAATAAGAAAGGTTCTTCAACGGCAAAGGGACGAAACGGACCGTCCAAGAGACGTGCACGGGAGTAGACATGGAGGAAAAAGCAAACCGTGCTTGTCCACCTTGATACGGGCCTTTTCGGGCACTTTGAGCACTCCTCCCTGCGGAAATATGTCCATGAATGGCACCAGCATATACATAGAAGTCGGTTTCCATATGTATCGCTGATGGTGGCATGCACAAGGTGAATACATGGTGCTTGACCGATGGACGATGAGATCGATAGCGAGCTCAGCAGCAGGCTGAAAGGAATGCTGATGCTGGCCGCAGTGACATGTCCAACTGAAGGAAGTGTACAATTTACGGTACCTGCGACATTGCGGCATCGGGAAAGGGATGTCGACACTCAGTCACCGACCGACCAGGCCGTCCCTGGTTGAGCTCATCATGGTCCGATTCATCTTGAATTCTGACAGCACGGTCCCGGTCCCGGGGCAGGACCCAGACAAGCACAGACTCACCAGAACAGCTGCGTAACGGAAGCTTCGGTAGAAACACTCGCTCACTGATCATCAGAGGCGCAAAAAAGACGAGACGGCAATCTGAATCGGACAGTTGGCACCACAGCTGGGGGAACACGGCGGGACCTGGTTGGCATTGGTTGATCGTTGGAGTCGCGCAAACGCATCAGTCGTGGATTTGCAGCTCATGAATGACATGTTAGACCAGACGGGAAAGATAAACAGGATGAAGTGTGGACTGGGCAGTGGCCGTGCGACTGGATGCGAAAGAGAAGTTGGCCAGTCGCAGTCAGTCGTGCATCTGGCAGCAGCATTCAGCGCGACAGGACGGGCCGGGGTTGGGGTTGGGGCTAGACTCGGGCTGTTGTCCGAAGTTGGGGGGTCCCCCGTGGGGCTCCCACGTTTCCACTTTTCGTGCATCATTTTAGGGGGCCTGGCCCGCTGTTAGGCAGGTACGTACAGTGGCTCACCTACATAGTAAACTCTTTTGTGGGGTGCAGCCAACTCTAACCTGAACAACAACTTCACCTCAACGACACACAAGACTCTCCCGTCAGCTCTTTGATGACACTTGTGCCCTCACACGGCTCAACACGCCCAAACTCCAAGGTCGCACAGTCATCAGAAAAAGCAGAGATCTATCTGCCATTGGATCCGTCCTTCAGAGACCAGTCTCACGTCGCAATGGCTACCTTCGGAACCCAGTTTTCTTTCCATGAGAGATTTGGTGTCACGGCGCCGTCCACCTATGGCTCCCTACCCCGGCGTTTTCCAATCCGAGTCCTGACCAACATTACCGGGAATAGTCCCGATCAATGCCAATGATAGGAATTTTGGCCCCGAGTTTGGCACGAGCGGCGCTGTATAAGCATCGGTTACTTCTTGCGAGGGCGGCAAAACAACCATAGCCTGCCAGCCATGGTCGCAGCCATAGTCCACCATGCCTTTATCGCATTGTTAACAATCCTTCCCACACCGCCAGGGCAATGCTGGATGCTTCCATGTCTGTGTTGTCACTGCCAGTCTCGCAGTGTCTATACGCCCTGGGAGACTGTATAGGCACTATTCCGTATTGCCGTCCAACAAGGTGGCCGTCCAATTCAGGATATTGTCTTCCGCTGCTTGCCTCTCCAAATGTTTGCGACAACGGACGGGTCAAGTGCAAACCCTTCCGTATAGCCAAGTGGCTGTAAGAGTGCTTAATGGAGAAACAAATATCGGGACACCCTTTAACCTCAACACCACCATCCTCCCTTTACCCACCGTCACCGGTGTTTGACCATGTCTCTATTTTAGCTCTGATCCGTGGCTGATTCCGTTTCAAGAAACCTTCTGGAACTCGGATCTTCGCCTATAGTGGTGTCAAGGTAGAGGTAACCTCATCAGTGCCATCAAACCACACCTCAAGGTACCCTTTTCCCTGGAAGCCATGCGACTTTTCCACGGAAGGGCTCCTGCAGCTGTTACGCCTAACAACCTACTGTAACCCCCATACTAACACTAGTTCGGCTGTCGGGGCTCCTTTCCGGCACCCTACCGTTCATTTCCCCCCTTTTCCTTATATTACCCCGGATTTTCCGCTGACCTGGGATGGACGCCAAGCAATTTGGAACCATGTCGAAACGAGGTTATTTTATTTCTGCACTATGCTACGTGCCCGTATCTGATGTCTTGCGCAAGGAGACGTCATATCAAACCCTGGACTACACGTGTTGACGGGACCGACGGCCAAGCACCTTTTCCAGGTTGGCAGGGCAAGCAAATAATGCCCCGACTATCATCTTGTCAGAGCAGCCTGCCTTGCCGCCGCGCCTGTTTGCGCTCAAGATCCGGCGCCAGTTTCAACTTGCGGTGTGCAGAGGCTCTACGTAAGACGGAGATCTAAAGATGATCAGGTACTCGACAGAAAACGAGATCTCGATCTTTGCCGGCCAGACGTCAGCAGAGCGTCGAACTACCGGTTGTCTCTTATAGTTGCCAAGTGGTATGACTATCCATTACAGGCTTCTCAGGCTCTGTGTACATCAACATTTTGCCCAAAATTACTCGGACGTTGCTCATCATTAACTCCAGCTTGTCCAGGTACACTTCATCTTCGGAAGGTTTGACGGAAGCAGAAATTTTACAGGGAATTTGACGGCAAACAGTTGTGGTCGTGGTGACAGCCAAAGCCCATTTAGGCAGTCCGGATTTTATACCTTTGTCCAAACTGCCTCATTGGATCTTTTCTTGGACACCAAACATACAACATCTCCAAATCGGCATATCGTGTCAACCTAGCTCAAGCAATCATGACTCACCCACAGCTCCTCCAAGAAAGAATAACGGCCAATACAGCACACTTTACCAACCGACATATACTCGTACGCCCTTTCTTGTCACACGTTCCATTCGTATATCACCGTCACGCAAAATCTTCGCCGCGTGTGCCGAGCCCGTAACCCCATGGGCCATGATTGCCATCATCCGCCCACCAGTGCGGATGGTTACTAACCCACGGGCCAGCTGCACGAGAAACCGTCTCTTACATCTCTCTAGCTATCACGACAAGTACAAGCAAGTACCTCTCAAACGCGCGTAACCGCTGTTCCTCTCTTTTCCGCGCCTTTGTGCCCTTGACCTCTCATTTTGGCGCGATGCGGTGCGATACGGAGCGGCTGGTGCGGTTGGTGCTAGGTATATCCCTCGGCTGGCGCAAAGCTCCAGTCCAATATCAATGTCCGGAACAGCTCCCCGCGCAAGAGGGAGTCTCAGATCGACCTGAATGTGAACAAACAATCGAACAGCACTATAAAAGATTCTAGTCAACAGCATTCCAAAACATTTGCGGTTCGGTTTCTTCCGCTTCGGTCATCAGTGCTCAGACAATCAGCTGAACCTGGCAGGCAGGCAAGCTCAAACCAAGTTTGGCTGTACTGGCGGTTGTTTCACTTCTACCCTTTTGCTAGGTGAAACTCACCGGCGTCGGGGGACACTCACCGGGGTACACTCACTCACCGTGGTACACTTACCGGGGAACACTCACCGGGGTACATTCACCGGGGTTCACAAATTCTGAAATCAGACGTCGGGGCATCGAGGAGGACAGGAAGAAACAGCCGCACAGGCATGGTTAAAAGCAGGGGGGCTTGACCTTGACCGCGAACATGGCCTAACCATGAACTTCACCTTGAGCTTCACCTTGATTTATCTGACCAAACGTGGAAAACATCCAACATGTGAAGAGTGATGTGAGTTTGCGTGGTAAGGTAACGTTACTGGGGCCTCAGCGCGATATCCTAGGCAAGTGAAAAAAAAAGGTTTTTTTTTAAGAAAGTATCGATTCTGTTGCATATGTGTAAAGAGCTTGTGCAGTTCACGAAGGACGTGCAACTGCTTATGGTGGGATTTCTGCGCTTGAAAAGAATATACAACCACCCAAAAGACTCGGCCGTATCGTGAACTTCATCTAAACACGCAACAATTCCCATGATATCGCGTTTCAGAAGTGGAATTACACCCTCCCTATTTGAAGATGTGCAATGGTTGACAGAAAAGAGCCTTCTCAGAGCCGCACTTTATACTTCAACAACAACATGGAACACCATCGTCACCGAACGAAGAAGGTTCGTGATAACATGCTTCAGACAAGGTGGTGAAATTTCCGCAGTCTAATGCTGTCCAGTTACCTAAACCAACCAACCATTCACATCTAGACACTCCTCTCGTCCATGCCCTTCCTTAATCGGCTTTGAACTATACAAGACCTAACGCCCTACCCAAGCGGTTGAGGATATTGAGAGATCTTGCATGAGGTACCACTCCTAACTACTCGTCGGGACTAGAAGCGTCTCTTGGCGAGGGTCGGGGAGCAATTACCCTAAATTTCATTGAAAGATAGGTACGCCTCCTCGGCGTGCATGATTACTGTAAATACG